GAGATACCAGGAAGGTGGACACCAAGACTCTCTACCGGAGCTCGGCAAATATAGACAAAAATCAACGAGGCTGGCGCAATCAGCGAGACTGGAGGAGAGGAGTCGAACGAAGATGGGTCTACAATCAGCAGGACCCTGAGCTTTGGATCATCGCTGCATTCATCAGAATCAGTCTGAACTATTTGAAAAGTATGAAATGTGACGAATGCATTTTATCTTCGCTTGAGCAGTCAAGGACTTAGTTGGCATACCTCAGCATTCTAATGTTCAACAGCATTACCTAGTTGAGTTTGAGAGAGCACAAAAATTCTATACCAAATCAACTGTTCCTGTCAAACTCAGAAGCTCAAATCATTTTCTGTTTCGTAAGGCCGTTCAGTTCTCAACTGCTTCGCAACCCAGCAGTAATGTACGGGATTATAGACATGTGGCATGTTCGAATCAAAGCAAGTCGCCTTGTGACCAACATCTCGATGACCATGCGTCAGAATGAGCGCCGCAGCGCCCCTTTTCAGCAATGATTTCGAGTGTGTCTTCCATGTATCGCATTATTCTACTCATGAGATTTTGTCGTGTATCGCATTGCTCATGCTCGCCTATGTATGCGGCCACTATGGTCCACGAGATACCTAATGAGTGGGTACTGAAACATTTGATTGGTGTTGGGTGGGGATCTAGATATCTCATACTGACCTCATCCGTAAGACGGTAATATCATAAGGATGACTCGGAAGTAACACCCTCCATCTCCTGAAGTAATGATCGTACAAGCAGGACTTCGGGTTTTGTATTTGTCAACAGCAATTTGTGGTCTCTCCGAGAAATTTGTGGATTTGTCATCACTCCGCACTCATATTAGCCGTCTCACCGATTCGAAGCCTCTTTGGCTCTGTGTACGGGTGCACACCACGCAGTATATGGGTACGAGCCAGACGTGACTTGCAATCCGAACTTGCGTAAAATTAGTGTTCATACCTCCCGCACACCTACACGATGCCATCAACAAGCCAAGCCATTGTCTGCACCGGGGCAGGGCAAGCCGAGGTGCAGAACCTGCCCACGCCACAGGTCCGCGATGGTCACATTCTTGTCAAAACCAAAGCCGTCGCGCTAAACCCAACAGACTGGAAGAGCGTGGATAGCGGAGAGCCCGTGGGGAACCGTATCGGCTGCGACTTTTCTGGCGTGGTGGAAGAGGTTGGCCAGAACGTGGCGAAGCCGTTCAAGAAGGGCGATCGAGTCTGTGGAATGGTCTTTGGCGCGTAAGTCAGCATTTTTTTTGCTATGCATTTCACCTCAATTTTGTGGAGCGTCAACATATGACCTAAACGTCGCCTGAAGGACGTGTTTACAGCCCATGCAGATATCTCTGTTGCCAATCAATACCCAGTATAGCTTTACTAAAACTTTCATTTGGATGACAGAGGAGGTCCTGAATCTGCTGCGTTCAGTGAATACTTGATCGCCAAAGCAGATCTGGCGATCAAGGTACCCGAAAATCTCACTTTCGAAGAGGCCGCTACTTTGGGCGTCGGCATCGTGACTGTGGTAAGTGTCCTGCCTACGGACAGTCTATAGAAATGTTCCCTGTATTCCAGCACAATATTAACACTTTCCACTGGAAAGGGTCAAAGTCTTTACCAGTCTCTCAAGTTGCCCTTCCCGGACTCGCCTTTGACCAGCCCGGTTCCCATCTTGATCTATGGTGGTAGCACGGCAACGGGAATACTTGGGATTCAATTCGCCAAACTGTCTGGTCTCACTGTCATCACCACTTCGTCGCCTCGCAACTTTGACTATCTCAAATCCTTGGGGGCAGATGCGGTGTACGATTATCATGAGGATATCGAGTCGCTTGCCCGGAAGATCAAAGAGTCCACCAATAACAAGCTCACCCTCGCCTGGGACTGCTCGCCCACCGAAGAGTCAGCTCGACTCTGCGCAATGACGATGAGTGACAGCGAAAAGGCCAAATACTCCAGCCTCTTGCCCATCGACAAAAAGATCCTCACGGAATACAACTCCCTAGTGGAGAGCGAGGTTACGCTGGGGTACAGCGTGTTCGGAGAGGCGTTCACTCGCCGGGGCAGGACTTTCGAGGCAAAGCCAGAGGACCGCGAGTTCGCAGGCAGGTTCTGGGAGCTGAGCAAGGACCTGCTAGCAGACGGCCGAATCAAAGTGGCCAACATGGCAGTTGACCAGGGAGGGAAGGGGCTGGAGGGAGTGCTGAAGGGCCTCGACGACTTGAAGCAGGGTAGAGTTTCAGGGACCAAATTGGTGTACACAATCGAGTCAAGTTAGCCAGCCTTGGTAGAAGACTCGTCAAGCTTTGCACAGGTGGTTGACTGTCAAGCAAAGATGCGAAAGAGACTCTCACATCGTACATACAGGGGAAGGCTACAGGCTTATGTGCTTCTGATGCGAATGCAGGAAAGTTTAATTCATATGCAGTCATTCGTTGAGGTACACGTAGAGGTGTTATGATGATTGGCAGCGAGGCCCCACCGTCGTCGTCACAAAGATCAAGAAGACGGGGCGATTGTCACACTACTAGACCCCGGCTCACGGGGCTCGAAGGCAGTCAACAACATGGGCACTTAAGCTCAGGCTGCTAGCAGCACATGTCTTTGGGGGGGGGGGGGGGGTGGCCGCTTTGAAGATACGGTTTGGTATCCTCTCATATGATCTGCGGCTCCACGTGAGCCGATCAACGTCTTGTACAGCGTCGGTTGCCGAACGACCGGCAGAATGATGAGCAGTCAATCTGGACCAAAGCATGTGGACTCATGGACTGAGGATTGGGCTCTCAAGACTTGGATTCCCGAGCCGGGGAGCCCTGCCAATGCGACGCTCGGCTAGTGCGTACACCGTCCAGATGACATCCGCGAGATTTGTGTCGGTTGGGCTCTAGGCACGAATCGTTGTTTTCTTTTCTTTTCTTCTCGTTGGGCACCAGCTGGGACGACAAGCTTTTTGCTATGGACCACTTGGCGCGATCGGATTCGGTTCTTAGCAGCCGTTACTTTCGCGCTTCGCGGTAGTTGTGATATTGTGCAGTGAAACACTTGGCAAAGCTGGAAGACTCCATCAAATTCCGTGGAAAAACTAAAGATATTATAGCCGATCACGCTCTACGACGTGCGCAGACCGTTTGTTTGACAGAGACTTGAGGCTCATTCGGCACCGATGGGCTCAAAACGAAAACTTGGCATATGCGTTTGAAACAGCGCAGACGTGCAATATTCATACTCTGTCCGAATTATAAGGGCAGACCGAAATACCATCATCCAGCGCTATGCCGCTTCTTGTGCCAGACAAAGTCAATATGAATTACGCTAATATGATAGAGGAGAAGGCCCTCAAAGTGAGTCGGGCGATGAGCCTCGCAGGCGATAGGAGTGTGCTGCAAATCCTGACCGAATGGCGCACAGAAAACATTCATTATAGCAACGCTGGTCTCGACACTTGTCGGGACATTCGCTGCATCTCACAATCTCTACGAGCGATTAAACCAAAAGAAAAAGGATGACAACCAGGATGGTGCTATCAAGAAGCTCGAGGAGAAATTGGAGCAGATGACGACGAAGAATAAGGAGAGTGACTCCGAGAAGGATGAATTGAAAGACTCTCTTGATAAATCAGGGCGACTCATCAAGCGGGAATATGATGTTTGCTATGACAGACTAGGCCGCAGGTTTGCAGTCGGTGACAGTGAGTCTCTCTACTAGCAACCACCCGGCCGCCGAGCTTTACAGACATGAGATGGCTCATTCATCATCTAGTTCTCACTGAAAATGAGCTTCAGAAGCAAATTATACTACTCCAACAAACCGTGATCGGTATTCTCGAAGAAGCACTCTACAGTGGCAGACGGATTGACCGCACTAGTCTCGATAAGCTAGTTTGGGCCTCAAACGCTGCTCGAACTAACTCCTTGGATGCTCTCAAGGGACAGTACCAGCGCATCGTTCAAGAGTTACCGATGCCTCCATCCCCTCAGGAATTCTTCGAAGCAGAAGTCATCGAACTTAGCTCGAGGGGATCATCGCCTCGTCGTCAACCCATCAAGGCCCTGCCGCCATCAAGAGCAAAGTCACCACCAGAACCCAAGGCAAAGCCGCTCCCGCCCCCGTCTCCACGTCATCAAACAGCCGTCGTGGTCGTCAGACCGCCACCAGAGAGAAGAACATCAGGTCGAGACTTCTACTGCCGGTACAGTATTGACTTGCAAATGTCACCGCGGCCTTTGGCGCGAGCTTTTGATCCCGGCCAGGGAAGCAGATGTCCCGCATGCGATGTGAAGTTGGCTGTCGATTGCGCAGACGTGTGGGGGTTCAAGTTATCTCTCCAGGAGAAGCTACCGCTTGTGAAGGAGACTGCACAGAGTCCGCCTGCGAGGTCACCCACAGCAGGCAAAGAAGTGGTGGCCGTAACCGAGCAGAGGATGGTCAGGTTCCGGATTCCGGCAAAGTTTGTGGTGAAATGTCACACGCCCGAGGGCGATTATGCATGTGTGCTCTGCTGTGGGCCGAGAGGCAATTATTCTGGGGTCGTGGTCCTGTGTGACGACCCGGAGGCGTTGGTCGACCATGTGGTCAAGGAGCACAAGGTTGCCGACATAGAGAAGGAAGTCGATATCATTAGAGGATGAGACTCAAAGGAAATGTACATTTAATAGACTGGGATGGGAATAACTGGGAATTGTCGCATGTCTGCGTGCACAGTGGCTACCGGAACTGGGTGTCGTTAAGGCGGTTGACCAGGAATTCGAGGTCTTCCCTCAACGCAAGCTCGCACATATTCAAAAGGTATTTGGGATATGCCGCCAAATCACTAACAGACGAAGCAGGTACGGATTATTCCTCTACATTATCCCGCAAAGCCGGAGACCAGGCGTGGAGCGGGCGGCCGCTGTTCACCACCGGACTTCATCCACTCAAAACATGGACCACCACAACACCAAAAATGATCGTGAGATGCCGTAAACGCCCAAAAAGAAGTGACCTGTGCAGGGGTCGAACCTGCAATCTCCTGATTCGTAGTCAGACGCCTTGCCATTGGGCCAACAGGCCATTTGTGGTTGTTGAAAATAAGTGCGGATAAGCCATACATAACTCGCAATTATTGTGGAGACCCGGAAAAGCCTGCGCAGACTGGGGTCGCAAATGCCGTCTTGGCGGACAGCTTGATTGCAAACGAGAAGCTAGAAACTAAGTTTGCAACTCCTGACTGGAGAGATTATCGGTACATTCGTGGAGAACATACATAGCCTACGCACTGCATCCGGTGGTCGAGAACGGCCATAACCATGAGCCTATACTTGGTCAGGGCCTCTCTCTTCAATAATAAGCATATGCTTTCACTTGTAGACAGGTCCAAAATCATGGACGCCAGCCACCCAGCTAGTGATATAAGCGTTGGAGAACAAAGCGCCGTTGGGAGTCCTTCATCACAGCTCGAACAGGCCACTCACCCGTGAGCGTGATCCAAGACTACTCAATCGCACAACAGGCTGCGTGTATGTCACTAAGTGATGATTTAGAGCGTTCATGTCACACGTGCGTGCTGAGAATAAAGTTTTGGTTTGAGTCCAGTTGGGTGAGCCGGATACCCAGGGAGCCCATTACTATCCACCCCATCGCCCCCCCAAACGAGCCTTGGTTACACGTTCGAAATCAATTAGAATTTATCATATTATCTACTGTACGTATATTTACCACCAGCACAAATCCTACCACCTATGAAAGTCCTTCAAAACCACCCGATCCAGAACGGTCGTGCCCTGCCAAACGCGGCTGCGCTCGCCACGCTCGATACTGGCGTTCCTGACCCTGAGCTCGTGACTGTACTCGTTACAGATGTCACCGGACCACTGGCACCCGCAGTAGTAGTAATATTCAGACCTCCGGCCCCCGTCGATGTTCCAGCTGAGTTTGATCCGGTCGTCGTAGCATTCGAGGATGCACTTGAGCTTCCAACGCTCGTGGGACTCGTGCAATTTTCGGTGAAGAACACATAGTTGGCGGCGCACCCCAGACCTTTACAAGCAGACTCACAGGGGTAGTCCACAAATACCGTGGGTACAGCACTAGGGCATCCACACCCTTGCGTGATGGGCTCGATCTGAACACAATCAGGGGTAGCGCAACTGCTGCAGATGCTGCTGGTCAAGGTGACTGTCGGGCACCCCGTTTGTGACGAGGTCACAGCTTCTGTAGTGGTTTGGGAGTTTGTGGTGCTGGCTGATGTGTCGATTGTAGTTGCCGACACCTGTGCAAGCGCCTTGGTGGGACTGCTAAAAAGATCTTCGATGAGCATCTTCTCAATATCTGCGAGAGAGATGTAAGTCTTACAAGGCAGCTATTCCCGCCAGTATGGCTAGAGAAGACAGCATTTCGGAGGACTGGGAGAGATGAAGGCTCTGATATCCGGTTGAACTCTTCAAGACTTCGAGAAGATTCTTTTCACATAAACTTTGAGGATTCTAAACAGTCAATTAAATTGCCATCGTAGCTTTATTTGCTCAAGAGCCCCATGGGGACCAGGGAGTGTTGAAAGTGATGTGCCCCCAGCTTATAAGTAGTCCAAGATGGGATTGCACCACATGACGTAGATGGCGTATTTTGTTCCTCGGCCATTAGCAGGACAGCGAACTTGTGGAGGACCTGCATGGCAGAGGAAATTTCAAAAATGTCAAGTGACATCGGGCTTGGAGGTCCGGGGGCTGATAGGTTGTCAGATGCCGTTCATGCAGGGGGGCCTGCCAAGGCATTGTAGAGATATCAGACTCCTCAAGGCTTTGTCCTGAGTAAGCAATTCACTAAAGAGTAGCAGGATTCTGCGGATTGTACACAGGTTTCTCAACTGCACAAGGACTGTCTTCGTGGATAGAGTACCTAGGTATGTATTTCGCTGGAATCTCTTCTTATCTTTGTCCACCCTGGACAACGAACACACAAATTGGTGTGTGTGCCATGCCTTGCGAACAGTCGTCCATGGAAAAGTTCGGATCATCTAGTTGATATGATGCTAGATGGCCGTATATTTCATTTATTCTTCAAAGTCCTAGCCCTGCTTTGAACATTCATCATTGAAGAATATCAGTGAGCCAATGAGCCCCAGCCGTCCTATACATTTGACATAATTCGCACTCGTTCGAGGAAACATGATTTTTATCAGGACAGCAAAAAGCTGTTGATCGAGTGAATCTACTTTTTATTGAATAATAGCTTTCCCCTGATGGGAACTCTTGTCTCAATCTCATCTCGCCTACAGTCAACACTGGCCTGATACTATCTATCGTCTATGAAATAGTAAGTTGCCCAGGCCACTATAATGCTTGAAACAAGTCCGGGTTTCGACGAGTGAAGGAATTATGTCAATAAGAACCCATGATATCTCAAAATTGTATAAAATTGAGCTTTCGCTTTCATTCCATTGGGGTGGTCGGATCACCGTGGCTGCGAGCCCCTTTGGATGACCGCTGGTCCAATAGGTATACAAACGGCAGGTGTGTCGAACTCCACCCAATGTCAGCCCACTCAGTGATTATCAAAACGCATTCTTCGCTGCGCTGGAAAGACGGAACTGCTGGGCTTCACGTCTTCGTGCAATTCCTCAAATTGGACTGCGTGCTGATGCTGTTGGTTGCCTCCTCTTGAGGGTTCGGCAGACGAGGTATCGCAGCGACAGATGTCAAAAGAAAACCTGGAGTGCGCTGATCCTTGGGAATCCAGCGCGGGCAGGGAACATTTCGGCATTATAAATCATGGATCGTTACGAGAATATTGATGGGGAGCTAGTGGAAAGTGATTGAAAATAGGGAAAGGCCGGATGGGAGACTAGAGGACTCAAGGACAGAAAAGACCATGATGTCGGAAGATGAGTCCGGTGAATTCCTCATCCTCGATGGTTGAGCAGCAGGATTTATCTAAAGCTAAGCTTGAATCATCAAATAATCCCGCCTACAAGTATCATTTGCAACGTTCTTGATCTCCAGTTGCAGATACCTAGGTAGAGACTTGTGAAGTAAACCACTCGATCTCTTACCCTCCCTGCCTTTGCGATATCAAATCACAGATAGAGTACTTATGAAGGCTTCAATGCTTCCAAACTATCTGCATCAGCTGTGTATTCGGCAAAACGATTGAGCCCGACAAAATCGAGACGCCAAAAGCCGATAATTCTTGGGCTCACATAATGTCCAACATGACCAATTCTCAGCATCATTTCATTTCTCATGATCTTCAGTAAGCCCGTAACGCCATCCAATCTGACAACATTATCGCCAAGCCATCACAGTGAGGCGTCCTGCTGACGTTGCTTCAGATTGCTCAAAACCGAAACTTACTCCGACGTCCGAGTAGTCTACAGCATGTGGACCTGGAAGCTACACAGCAACATACTGTGGCAGAGATGTCGCTGGATTGAGAAAGCTGCTAGGGAAGAATTCCTGTTACGTGAACAGGATGTCCACTTGTAAATGCTTCAATCGCACCTTGCAAAGGCGTGGCCTGCTAATAATTCTCGGCGGACCAGTATATGGCCATCCGAATATATTAATATAACAGAGTTTGACAAATTCAACGAGCTGATCAAAATCATGATTGCGCATATTTGCTCAGGCGATGAGAGCCTGAAATACTGTGATAGACACTTTCTACGCGAAGCTGAAGTCTAGCCACAATAGATCTTGATATGAGCTTAGGTAGGACGTCGAGAACGAGTCTGAGCTGTCCTTGCCGACTGCATGCGTCTGTGGACCATCACCAAGTTCTTCCTATTCGAGTCGTTGTGATGGCTGCGTGCGAGGACTTCTTCGAACTATACTCCAAAAAGCGTATGTAAAGCAGGCAGCATTTGTCGACGATTGTGCATGACGAAGTTTGTCGAAAATTGGGAACTGGTGGTAAGGCCGCTTACGACGAGTAGCCCCGCGCCCGACAATGCCGAAGGGTTCTCTTTTATTTCACTCATGTGGCTCTACTCAGCCGTTTTACCTAGGCGTTGAAAGCTTCGTCGAGGGTTGTCGGCCGTGTTTTCCAGGCCCTTGGGTAAGGTAATGCTCATGTCTCTGATTAGAGGCCGGCAAAGCACATGGGATGGTGAATCGGCGGCAGACTAGCGCGGCTTTCCCATCGTGAATTGCTTGAGCTGCAAGGTCTGTTTCGACGCCATGGAAGAGTGCTTCATTGCCACTTAGGCCAGATGTGAGGACAATAGTGACATCGCGGAAGTCAAAAGCATGTGCGAGGTCTGTGCGAAGAAGTTCCGATATCCTTGGCAATTTTGCCAGAAGGAGATGAGAAGAAAGAGCGGACGCAAGGAGCTTCGTCAACTTCTACAAGACTTCATCCGTCCGGAAAAGCTCCAAAAAGGACGTTGTAGAAGGAGGACGGAGAGCCAGTCCTTGGGGTCTCGGCAATTGGCTTAGTTAACACCTCTGGGGCTTTCTCTTGGGGCTTGAACTGCGGATGCTCACTCAACGAACCTGAGCAAATAAAAATGACATTGAACACGCGATATGACTGTTTTTCATGTATTGCCAGCTCTTCGTGCCTATTATGTAAATAATCAATTATGGCAGATGATCAATACTGCAAACGGATGTCTGTTGCGAATTTAGCTCGGCGCTAAGCCCTAGCAAGTTGTCCCTCATCGTAGCCAGGAGAAGACCCACCAGAAGCTCACATGATGTTCAGCTATGGCTTCCAAGACTCTGACTATTTTGAGCATCATGCTGCAAACGGCTGTCCATTCTGAGCACAAATTCGCCTCTCCCCGGGAAGAGTCGCCGGCGGGACGGCGACCAGCCGAGGCCCGTTGGGCTCTAACGTGGTTCTGCAGCTCGCGCTATTTAAACTACTCACATCGTTTTCCTGCAGTCGGTCTGCTTGCCGGTGTCCATGCTTTGTTTTCGCTCCGGGGGATCACGTGCTACGAATCATGAAGCAGTCGGACCGCCCCGAGAGCTAGAATCGTAGCCAAGATCGGCGCGAAGTGCTTGGCCTGCAAAGTCTAACCGTTGTGAACATGGGATGAATCACCTGCTAGAGAAGGCCCATGATTGTCC